CCGGAGGACCCACTCAGGACGGAGGCGCCATCTTCGTTCACGAGGCTGTACCCCAGTTGCTCGGCAAGATCCGGCTCCTCACCACCGAAGGCCGCGTCGTGGGCAGCCGGGCCACGAGGATGGAGGCTGGGATGATGATAGGACGCTTGCGTGTTCGTCTCGGCAAGATGGCGAAGGCGCTCCTTGTACATGCCCCTCTCTTCCCACAGAACCTCCAGCTGACCACGTGCTTCGGCAAGCTGCTGCTGGAGCTGCTCACACCGGTCCTGCAAGACTGCCTTGCTGCTTCCCGTCGCCAGCTGGACACCGTCCTGGGAGCCGCGACTCGCGTCTTGCTGCAGTCGCTGCACCTCCGACTGCTGCTCGGCGGCATGGGACTCGGCCTTCGCCAGAAGCTCCTTGGTCTTGCCATGCTCTGAAGCTTCTGCCTCCAAACGATTTGCAAGCTCCTGGCACCGCTCCTGGCACTTGCCGTGCTCTTCCCGCAACTGCCCGAGCTCCTGCCGCATCTCCGCCGCCGCCGACTCTGCACCTGTTGCGCGAGCTGCGAGCTCGTCGCACCGCTCCTTGCACTTGGCGCTCTCGATCTGCGCAGCTTGGAGCTCCACAGTCTTGCTGGACACCTCCGCTTCCGCCGTGGCCAGGCGATCGCGCAGATCTCGACACTCCTCCTCCTGCGGCTTCTGGAGCTCCGCTTCCAGGCGTCGGCGCTCGGAGGTCTCCTCCTCGAGCTTCTGCCGCTTCCGCGCCGTCTCCGGGCTCTCGGCCTCCGCGAGCCGCTCCGCGAGCTCCCGGCAGCGGTCGCGGATTTGGGGCAAGTGGAGGTACCCAGCCTCCCGGGCCGCTGCTGAGCCGCTCGGCGCTCCTCGCAGGAGCCCGGCCTCAAAGCTCCAGCCGTAAAAGCCGCACTTGCCATACTCGGCCGCCCCGTGCCGGAGCAGCGCCTCTTTGAGCTCCTCCGGCCTCGGCTCCTTGTCTGCGAGCTCCGTCGCGAAGCTCTCCCGGCACCGCTGGAGCCAGGCCTCGGCCTCCGTCGGCTGCGAGGCCCACAACTCCTCCAGCCGATGGCTCAGCGCCTCAAGAGCTCGCTCTAAACGAGCATAACCTGGCTCATATCGAGCCAAGTTGAGGAAGGCGTCGATGACCGTCGCCAGGGACCATCCGGCAGGGACTGCAGTCAGCTCATAGAGATATTGTGCTTCGGGCTGCTGCGGCATGGCGGCGTGCCTCGGGAGCTGCGAGATGGGCACAAGGGGACCTCAGATTTGCCTTTGAGCTCTGCTTCGCCTTGCTGGATCGATCTCTCAAAAGCACATAGCCCTAACCTGCCACGCCCTCAACCTCAACCCTATAAACCTCTGCCTAAGCCACGGCACTCAAAAGCTTAGCTTTCAACAGCTTTGCGGGCCTCTGCCGGACCGCGACTGCCTTAGGGAAGGGGACGCGCTGGGGTTCGGGGCTTCGGGCTTTGGGGAGGGTTTTGCCACCACGGTGCTTTTGTTGTTGTATCGGTTTTGCACGGGGTTGTGTACAAGAATCTTAGCAGGGATGACCCTAAAATTTAAACCCTAAGGCCCAAAGCCCTAAACCCTAAGACCCTCAAACCCTCAAACCCTAGAGACCCCACCTTTGGGCCCCCTGGCCCACGACGGCGCCATCGCAGGGCGAGGCGAGCAGCGCCAGAACTACGAGCTGAGAAAGGGCCTCAGAGCTCAACAAACCTTCCGGATTTTTTCGGCATTTTGGGGCGTTTAGTTACGGAGTAGGGAGCGGTCTTAGGGCTGTCTTCCGAAGCGGAGGTTCCCACGTGTTGAGGGGTCGAGGGGGAGTTTAGGGTCTGCAGGTGTCTATGTTGCGGGTACTTTGCGAGCTCAGGTCTTGAGACCTATTTCCAAGCGAGGTGTTGTGGGAAGGCAGGGTTTTTGGAACCTTGCTGAAAAGATGACTTTCTTGAACTGCTAGGGGAAGAGGGGGGGGGGTTGGATTCAAGGAGCGATTAAGGCTCAGATCATGGCAAATTCCTCGAATCAGAAAGGTTTCTGTTGGGAT